CTTGTCCTACATTTAGTTTTCGTCTCCTGATTATTTTTACATATGTGTTTGTTTGTATATATCCTAGGGATTACATGTATTTTTCGTGTTGGTGTATGGATTTTATGAATGTTGTTTGGAAACTGAAATATCGGTGAGTTAACAGCGGCTGTGAATGCTGATGGTAAAAGTGTGACAGAAATGGTAGTCCTAGAGATGAAAGTCAGGGGTTCCATATGATAAGTACAGGTTAGGGTAAGTTGGAGTATTGGGGTTAGTATATGGGACGAATATCACCTGTACAAAGTAATGGGGGTGGACTACTTCCCTATAGTGGACTACCATTCCTGTCTCACAGGAAAGAAGGAACAATGGGAAACGCGAGCACCATTGGCAGAAACACATGCTCTGTTTAATCTTCATTATTCCCTCATAGTACAGCTGGAAGCGTGTTGAAACAAAAAGTCTTATTTATAATCACCAGAGCGAATTTTCTTCTTCTTCAGTTGCGTTTTCTTAAAACTCTCAGATGTTTTATTCTTAAAGGCACAGATAGGCCTCACAAGATCTTGATCTTTAGGTGACGGTAAGATATGGTGGATTGTCTCGCTGTCTAACGAAGTTTACATAACTCTCTGTCTAATTGCACTCAAAGACCAGGTACACCCAGGGATCGATTACACGAAACGAATTAAATTCAGAATCCTTCTGGCATTGGCGCCTAAGATTTTAGCCGACTATGTTGTGTTTCGCAAAGTTTGTAATAGGTCGTGATCGCTCATCCACCGAATACATTTTTTATTTCCATGCAGTAACAATACCTCATAAAGAATGACAACTGTATTTTCTGAAAGCAAACCAAACACTCGTTAAATGCCATTGGATAATTTACAAGGTCGACATTCTGTTGTAATCTAAATTATGAGCTTAGAACTACACGTGTAGGTAAAAACTTTCTATTCACAATGATTTTGTTGAGGTGACATATATTTAAGAGACGTTCAAATCAGTGAAAATGGTGCGATGTTCATGTGTCCGGATCCACGCGACTCACTTTCCTAAGTTTTTCTATTTGTAACAGTTAATATAATCTGCCTACTTGTTATGTATACACAGTTATTTTCTTTATATCGTACCTGCTTGATATAATCAGCCTTTTATGAAACACCTTTAAGCTGATTGCTAAAACTTGGCACGTATTAGCTAGGTCACAGTGACAATTTGACAAATCTGTGTGGTCAAATTGACATTGTTATAGTTCGTGGTAAACACGATTCCCAAAGTCGACCTTGAAATTCTTATCTTAACACGTCACATGGCTTGTTGAAATTATCTCTAATTATCTGGTGGTCTTAGAAATAACGCCGAGCTTGCACGACATTGCTGACCAAATTTAGAGCCTTCATTTGATTTGACCACATTCAAATAATTAAGAGACATAAAACTACATGTAGGAGTTAAGTATGCATTGGTTATGACGTGATATAATACAGCAAATAATGACGTAAAATGTGTAAAACATGATGGTATCCATGGATCCAACACATCAGCTTAAGTCACTGTCACACTTTAGCGTATAGTGCTAACGTATGAGAAAATTAAATCGCACGCAGACAAACCGGGTTTGTCAGACTTATGTCGTATACATTTACAGTGCTCAAGCCAAGGTTAGTGCATTTTTTTTAAGTTATACGAGCGTATAAGTCATACTTTACACATACACTTGGGGAACGCTAGGCGTACGATTAATACATTAGAGTGTCACATATGCATCAGAGATCCAAGTAAGATTTAAAATGTTTTCTGGTATATGTTAAAATAGGGGGGTAAAGCGTGTAAGGCACATTAAAAAACAAACAAAAAAATGTGTGGTTAAGGTAATAAGTAAGAATTATAAACAGGATCAATCATTTCCCCATAGACTTTGACATCAGGCAAACACTAATTAAATGCAAAACACTAATTTACAAATACATGCCGACGCCAATGAGAAAGAATAAAATGAAGAACCAAGCGTTTTTGAGTATATTCTGAAACCCAGGACTGCAAAAGCACAGAACGAAGAATAGAAAAAGATGCGCTAATGACATTTAAACCCCAATCAAATGAAATCCCCATTGTCGCCAGTGCTGCAGGCCACCCGCGTTGAGGAATCCGCAGCAAGCATTAATTACCTTGCCTTTTATCTTTAGTTCATTCTGGCAATCGATGAAGCTGTCTCTTTCCCTCCTGTTACAATGCGTTCCAATTAACACATTATTCTAAATCATTCCTGATCGCTGAAGCTCTGTTTAACACGTTTTACAAAAACATTGATCGGAACGCCCTGGGATCTCATGGCGTTGGCTAATGGCCAGTATACACACATATTAATCTGGATCGACCTTGAAACGATCCAAAAGCACATGCATGGAAATAAAAAAGAAACAGATAAATAGATAGATAGTTAGATGTTGAGTGTCGTTTAACATTTATTTACCTGTTTATAGGGGATTAAGACTAAACTCACTAACAATATCATGTTTGGGGTTATCGTCGCCATTTTATAACATCCTCGGCGAGAGGGCGAATTGCTCCAGATTAAAAACGCTATTCAGACTCTGTGTTAAACTGGTGATGTTAACACACAAAGGACAATGTTTGTCCTGGAGCAGGACTTGCGTCTGATCAAATCAAACTCAATCAATTCTCTGTAACGCGTTTCCTGTTTTTGCAGAAAAGTAAATATTAACTGTATTAGCTCTTGGGGCGTTTGCTCAGGAGGGGAACCTAAGTCCCAGTGATGGAATTGGGTGTAAGCTAACAATTGGTTTGGTGCCAAAGCTGTAATGATGGAATTGCCTCTAATGTGCAATACAAGAAATTGAATTAAAGCGCTGGTTCGTATGACAGCCACAGATATACACGTTGTTTTAATGGAGCATATGTTTAATTGTTGACCTTTGGTTTTACATTCTGCATTAATCAAAGCTATTTTTAAAATTATCATTTAAGGAGGAAAAACACTGTGAACTTGGTGAGAATAATTCATAAAGAGAATTAGTACATGTTTACATGAAGTGAATAGTGGCCCTAAGCATGGATTGAAAATAACTAATAAATATACATTTGTGGTCGATATATACGCACTGCAGCGCAACACATATTTCTTAATTGGATATTAAAGTTCAATAACTACACTGTACTTTTCTGCGAGGCTAATCACCTCTCTCTCTCTCTCTCTCTCTCTCTCTCTCTCTTGTGCCTCGTAATAAACAGTTCTCAAAGACGTTTCTTTACTGATCAATTATTTCCATCTGAGGGATAGACACATCTAAACATATATTTAATTGACATGTCATATATTTTTGGCTACAACTACCGTACTACATGAAAGCGGAAAACATGGAACAAGCTAGCATCTCGATATATCAAATTTAATGAGACAGAACGTGTTGCAGCCACGATATTCACGCTGTAGTTTGATAGCAAGTACACGTCGTTTGTGATCTTTTTCATTTCACGGTAGAATATATAGATTTGTTTTCATGCCTTAAAGTACACGCACCATTAACCTTTGATGCCATTATTTATGTTAAAGGCACGTTCTGTTAAATCTTCGAAATGTATCAGACCCTGGTCTTATGGGAAAACCCTGATAAAGATATCATCCCCGGGGGATACGTTGTCCCAAGCGTCACCTAAAAAAATATGCCGACAGTCAATGAAAACGCATCATTTATTTATCAAATGATATTTTAAGTTCCTTTGGCACATTAAGAAAATAACAGTTTTCGTGTGAAATATGTGAAATATGAAATAGTGGTCAGCCCACTCTCTTATGACCAAACAAGTGCATTTATACTCGTTAATATGGTTGCAATCCATTCTCGGTAAAAAGTACATGAAAGTTTTCTGATGCGTTTTCATTGACTGTCAGTATACTACGCGATTTTGTTGTTATTTCAATATACAGACTTGAGAAGTTTTTTATGGAATTACACGTACGATAAAACATAAATGTGAGATGCATAATATGAATAACATATACGGTTATTTATGTAGATAATCATGGGGTATTAAGGTTTTAAGCAGGTGATACGTGCCATAAGATTGACATTTTAAGTGCTTAGACTGTTCGTTTTCCATGTTTATAACGATATGATGAAGCATTAAAACAAGGATTATTGGTTTAACGGTAACCACTCTGGTAAATCATGTCAGAAAGGCAGTTCACTAACTGACAAGGATGTAGTAACCGTGATTCAAACTGAGCGTTCTGTAATCATTTTAATCGGTAATTAAGTGCATCACTACACCTCTACACCGCTCGTGGCTTGCGTGATTCTAATTTTAAGAGATAAGATATTGCACTTGACGCTTCTTCAGCCAGATAGGTGGAATCGTTCATGAATCGTCGCCGACGATTACGTGTAGACATTATGGCTAGAGACACTCAATAATGACGATATACTGTATATCAGTTGTGGATCAGAGGGCGTTACCAGATGAACAACGTTATCTGTTTTCTTAAATATATAGCAAGGCGAAACTCTTAAAGATCTCCGTACACACTGGTGGCAATAACAATATGCGGTTCGTTCTTGACCGTCATTTAATCGTGAACTTTTTCTAAAATAGACTCTTTCGTATTACTCTCTCTCTCCCAAATACAAACCGACCAAAACCCAGCATTCAAACGACCTATATATCTATGGTGAGACAGGTCGGAGACGGCTCAATGAACGACCATAAAAAGCCGAACCGTTAAATTAAGTGGAAATCAGCCGAGGCACAGTGGCGTAATGTGCATTAAAGATTGCAGAACAAGTGCCTGCATGGGGTAGAATCACATTGAAACTGAACTTAACGCATTTAACAAAAGTTGTGGTTTGTGGCACCTGTTACTTTGCATTATGCGGAACCCATGTTGTGGGTTGGCGTGGAATCTGTACAAAGTTACAAAGTTACCGCCCATACGACTGAACAAAAAGGGTGCTCTTAAGGCGGGTCTGTGAGAATGGTCATATTCCTTCGTGCGAAGACCAGACACTGTCAGATACATTTTACTTAGGTAAGTGTTCTTTTTAAATCATTTGAACATATGAAATACTTGTATATCAAACGGTTCGAGGGCGTCTTACGCAGTTAGTTTCATGTAAAAATTGCTCACAGACGCCTTGTGTTCGGCGTATTTAAGCAACATCAAGAGGACAGCGATGTTTTGCTTGAATCCTTCATATAATACTAATAGTAATATGTGTTTAATTTATTCTCTTTACTATACTGTCAAGAGTACAGACTGAATGACTCTGGCCAATACTCAGTGTTCCGAGAGAAAAGTAACCTAAGAGTCCACATACGCCCGGCGTGGTGCAAAGATCTGCAGATAATAATATGTCCACAACAAAAATAAGGAAGCACAGGCGTAATCAATAAACTGTTTATTTTTAAATCCTTAGATTGAATTATGATGTTAAGCAATTTCAGCGCGTGATTTGATTATAACGAAGAGCGTTCATCAGCAATGTTATATCTCTTGTCTTATAAGAAACAGTTTATTTTAAGAAACACATACTTATTATAGATAGTAAGCAGCTTCAACGAATGGTTTGAAGATAATGAGATGGCCGTCATAACCAATGATATACTTGTAAATAATACTCAAATCTTAAATTTAGTCCAAATTTATGAATCATCTGACAATTAAAGGAAAAATGTAAAAGGTTATATTTTACTGGTTATCTTTTCCAAAATCTCCTCGCATTTCCTACATCAAATCCCAGCGGGGCGTTCTTTAAATGATAACTTGTTAGGACATCCACGTGTAAAAAGTTGTCAGTCTCCCCAGGACGCCAGTTATCAAGGCTACTAGTATGACGTGTTAAAGACAAGTATAAATGACCCGTTTAATCTGCCGTAAGTGAAAACGCCAGGTTACATTTCAATAAAATGGCTGGTCGTGTTTTTAAAGCATAAGTTGTCGAGGTCAGATACTCTTCGGACTCCAAATGTCAAAAAAAAAAAAAAAAAAAAAAAAAAACATTACCACCAAATGTAAGACACAGGCGCGTGACATGAGGGGAATGATTTTGAACACTATCCTATGCATTATAGACTAAGGAATGGGTCCATTTGTTTTAAACGCATGTGCTAGGTAATCGTTTTCAATTGCCATGCGAAATTCCAACAGGCGCGAAATACATTTGGAGGTCTTAGTGTTAAATGCTGGACGTAATTTACAATTATGTTATTCTTAGCACCAAATCTGACCTTGACCTTGACATTAACAGAGATCCAAATTACATTCAAAATTTAAGGGAAATTTTGATTTGATTTGTTAGGCTTTACTTATGAAGACGCTGCTTCTGCTGTAGACCATTACATCCTGTAACATACATCTCAATTTATATTTCTATTTATATAGAAACATTTAAATGGACTGTTCGTTTGCTGATATTTACGATTTTGTAGGTACAAATAAGCATACACACGTTGCACTCACGTTTGTATCGTATTTGTTTGGAATTCGCTCCACCTCTGATGACTTTCCATTGTATATTGTTTTAATCATCTCTACACATGCCTCTATTGGTAACACTTAGTAACCCTGTCATTTCATCAAGATAATTGTGTAACGATGTAACAGCAATTTATTAATCCATAATCGCTATAATGGTGTAAAGTATGTAAGTTTGACAATCTGGGAGCGTTCAAAATGCCTGATAGTTATATATTGATTTAAGACTTGCAGTGGACGACTCATAAAAGATAAATGTTTTTTTTTCTCTTTTCTCTCTTCTGGTACCTTAAATTATTATCAAACTGTCATGCTATTATTGCAAAAAAGGCATCCTCGTTAAAGTTTACATCGTTTTTGACAACATCAAAAACACCGTGCAAATTTGGATTGCTCTTTTTTCTTCTCTAGTCCAACAGAACACATTTTATAGCAAACCATGTACATATAATGTAAGATTTGTACGTTAATGGTTAGGGTGTGTCTGATACACCCCCTTCGCTCTGTTAGTGTCCTTGTTGCCCTTCATTTGAAACCATAACGTGATTTAATAGGGCACGTTTATCAACCGTACAAATAGTTCATATTTTAGCATACGTCAAGTGCCAAAGAGATAATCACAGTGGCTTTCCCAAAGATTTTCAAGCACACAAATCCCAATTATGTGTAAGTGGAACTTAAATGTTTGGTTTATCCTACAACTCTAACGCGAGGAAGTCAATAATAAACCCAATATATAATTGTTACGAGGCGTTAGTCACGTACAGCAATTAAACGACAAGAGTATTTGGTTTCCATTCCCATTGTCTGGTAGTCAGTTTATTGGGGAAGCACATAAAATGGCAATTGAATTTTATGTTTTGGCGTGCTATTGACGGGCGTAACTGTTTCTGGAAGTGCGTTTATGTTCGCCATTCCTCATTGTACTTATATACAGATAGTTTTTTGAAGCCATAACTAGTAAAATATATTTGGCATACAAGAGAATAAACTCTATTCAGTGTTTTGATAAGGATCGGTAATAAGTTATTCAATTTTTCTGCCACGTTTTTTTTTTTTTTTTTAAATCGTAGAGGTGGGCCGTAATAGTCACAATAAAAGGCAGATTTCAAATTTCAGAAATGTCAGATGCAAAAGCACAAATCACGAGTGTCTGAGCGTGCTCTTAGTAAAAATAGATTGAAAGCCATATCGGATCAAGAAGTGTCTGTTTTTTGATTGACGAGAATCCTTAAACCATGCATTTCTTAGGGGCATATTTTATCCCACTAACGGTCATTTCGTAAACATTAAAAGCGGTAATAAACGTGGTGGTCCTCATTAAATGTATTTGGTATGCATTACAACGTCCACTATTTGATTCCCAGTGGTCAGTCAGACATACATCCATGTTTGATTATCACCTCAAAGTAGTGTATATAAGATTGGATTGTTTTAATTATATTATATTTGTGCGTGTTTGTTTCTGGCACCGTCAAATCATACTGCCATTGTGGCACTCTTAATTGCCTTCGATGAATTTGACCGTGTCCTTGTTTCATTCAGTAAAAAAACGAACAAATACATTGTCAAGCACATGTCAATTTTGTCTCCATGTATCCACCTCATTTTACAATATAATTAAGCGGCTTTTGCAAAAAAATGTATGGAAGGAAGAAACGCTCAGATGAATGTAGCACATATTGCTATTATAGAAATAGACTATTGAAAGCACTATGGGTTGCCATCCACGGATCGGTTCGTGTTATAAACTCATGCTTTAATGGCGTATGCTAATAAACTGACGCTGTCCAAACACTCGTTGGCCACCAACGCTTAGGTCCGTTAAGTATTCATTCTATGTCGAGTGCCCCTTGACTTTTGCCTTAAACAAACTAAAACAGAAATTGACCACACCGCCGTGTCAGCGGGAGAATGTGATATTGCGTGTTGCCAAGACCTGAATGTTTTACCATATGGCAGAGAATGTACTGTTTACTTATGGCATTGTGTTTCAGTTCAAAAGCTTGGTTTAAGATAAAAACAATGTCGGAAGGTGTGCTCTTTATGATTCAGCGACTTTGTGTCTATTTTCAATTAATTGATCAGGTTGTGTTCCTCCTTGCCGCACTGTTTACTGCGCCCAACCGTACACCATTCTAACTACAAACGAGCACCGTCATGTAGTGTGTGAAAACGTAAATGATAATTGCCTAAATACAAAACTTGTCATGATTTACATGAATGTTTTGTACCTCGTGTAAAATAAATCCTAAGATACCATTGTGTGTGGAAATGTTTTGTGCAGTTTTGGATACCTGGATGAATTAAAACAATCCACATATGGTTGAACGTCAGTGACCTAGCTGTATTTGGAAATAACAACGCAGGGACGACTAGTATGCATATGACTCTCCGCCTGAAGACGCATTTGTGTTTAAAAAACATAAAGAGTGCACGCTTGGTTTATTAAAAAATGAAGAAATGCAAATACGGAGATCGATTCAGTGTTTTTAATCAGCTGACGATTAATCAAGTTATATAGTAGTGTTTTAAAAATAAAATACGCCATATACACATAGATTACAGGAGAAAATGTTAAATTCAGAATGAAAGAGACTGTGCAGCACGTCAATGTTTGTGATAGAAAAGATACATTTCAGGGATTTCTTGGCGGAATGTTATGGTTAAAAAATGATAGTATACGGTGAAACGCAAACGAAAAAGTTATTTTAGAGTCATGAAGCTCTCCGGAGGGCAATTATCACGGCAGGGAACATAAACTACCAGTGCCTGGTGGCCGATACGAAGACAATATACAGAAGGTATAGTTCTCAGTGAATATATAACTTTACTGGTAATCACAGGTAAAGTAAATATTGTGGCACTGGCAGCGGGAGAAACGGACGCACCTGACCGGTGTAAAATGAACGCTGGACTTCTGGACGGTTAGGTGTTTTTACATGTGGTCTGTTAAGATGATCGGTTTGAGTAGGCTGCTTTAGATACTTTAGGTTTGCTTGGCCAAAAAAGATAGGGCTCTGCATTACAAACTTCTGAATAATGCTTTCTTAGTTGTATTTGTTCATTGTTGTGTCGTACAAGATGTCATATTACGTGAATGTATGGGCTTATTTTGAATTTGCAGTTGTAACAATCCTCAACCGAGAAAAACTCAATTTGGCTCTGGCTTGAAATCTATTATCACTATTACAGGACAATTACTGGTTTGTCAAACAGTATCAGTACAACTTAATAATTACCTCAAAAACACACCATGGATCAAAACAGTCAAGTGTACTAATATTTCATCCATAAAACCAACAAGGCAATTCATTGGACATATCAGTGTTATCACCCGTCTAATGTCATTATTACCACCACATAAAAACAGCAGCTTGGGACAAATCATGTCCTATATATCCATCATTCTTACAAAACAATTTGCTTGAAATGGCGATAATCTATGGACTAAAGTCTCTATATTTGTCATTAATGACTATTTAGCGTAATGATTTGCGGTTTATGGCACGTTTCTGCTTGCATTGGCAGGCAGAGGGGCACGTGACCTTCTG